ATTGAAAGAAAAAATGAATCCAATTTTGAAGATATGGTATCATTTATTTATTTTATTGATAAAATATTTTTATAGAGATTCCAAAAGTATAATGTTAATTTTGTAATAGGTTTTTGCATGACTTTGATTTTTAGAAACTTTTATTTAAAGAGAGATTCCAAAAATGTAACATGTTGACTTTTTAATATGATTGAAAGAGAAAATAGATATTCGATTTTAAAGTATGGTATTATCTATTTATTTTGTTAATAAAAGACTTTTATAAAGAGAGAGTTTTCAAAGTTGATTGTAAAGTTGATTTTTTAATACAATTAAAAGAAAAAATGAATGGTATCCAATTTGAAGATATGGTATCATTTATTTATTTTATTGATAAAATATTTTTATAGAGATTCTAAAAATATAATGTTAATTTTATAATAATATTCTGCATGATTCGATTTTAAGATATTGTCTATTCATTTATTAATGATGAAAGATTTTTATAGAGGAAGATTTCAAAAATATAACATTGACTTTTTAATACAATTGAAAGAAAAAATGAATGGTATCCAATTTCAGGGTATAGTATTTATTTTATTAAATTAAAGAATTTTTATAAAGATTCCAAAAGTATAATGTTAATTTTATAATAATATTCTGCATGATTCGATTTTAAGATATTGTCTATTCATTTTATTGATGAAAGATTTTTATAAAAAAAGATTCCAAAAGTATAACGTTGACTTTTTAATACGATTGAAAGAGAAAATGGATATTCGATTTCAAGGTATCCTATTGTCTATTTGTTTTGTTGATAAAGGACTTTTATAGAGATTCCAAAAGTGTAACGTTGACTTTTTAATACGATTGAAAGAGAAAATGGATATTCGATTTTAAGGTATCGTATCGTTTATTCGTTTTGTAGATGAAAAACTTTGATAGAAAGAATTTCCAAATAAGTATAACAGTTGACTTTTTAATAGACTTTTACTTGGTTATGACGATTGAGAGAGAAAATAGTATTCCATTTGTCTAATTACGACGAACCATTCAATTTTCGCTCCTATTGTATCTATACATTATTAGAATATT